CCCCCTCAGCCGCACCTGACCGCGCTCCCCTCTGACTAACGGGCCGCGGGGGGCTGCTGCCGCTCACGTTTCTCTGCGCCAGGGTGGGCTGCGGTAGAGCCGGGCGGCCTCGGTCGGTGCCTTGTCCGTGGGACACGCCTGGCCTCCCGGTAATTGGCTGCTGGTGGTTTCCCTCTCTTCCCAGTGCCTCGAGCACCGGCTGCAATGGAGTGGCTCGGTGCGAGCGGAGCGTGCAGCACGGTTTGGAGTCCCTCCAGTCAAAGGTCGTCGTAGTCATGATTAATTTCAGTAAGTTTCGACTTCCGACTCTCGTCAGAATCTTGCTTTAAATAGGCGTGGCTTTAAAGTAACTGTTTCTTCTCCTGCACTTGTTCGGTTCCCAGGACCCGTGGCAACCTCTCCTCCCCCAAGTTAGAAAAGGGATTGTTCATGAAGTCACGTATTCCTGTATAACTCTAAGCGTCTGCTGCGATCCTTCATAAAGATGATCTGAAAAATAGTAACAAACCCCGCAGTACTCATCTAGGCAGCTAAAGTATTGTGTTTTAGATGAAAGTATTAAAAAGAGTGTTTAAAGTTCTAAGAAACAAACTGATTTTAATGTTTTAGTACTAAATTTGCTTTTAGCTAATCAGGATATATTTGACTATCCAATGCATGAATAGTCCTGGATCATTCCAGATTGCACGTGCGTGAGATCTTTTTTCTATTTGAAAATGAAAAGCTCATGTAAAGGGTGGCAGGATAGAAATAACTGTCCAACATATTTGCGAGCGTCAATCCAGAGCAAAAGCACTGTGCAGAATTACGAGCAATTAAAACTACTCGTAATTCTTGACTGCAGTATTATTAGTTGACCCCTTTACTAGCATATATGTAAACAGTCATCTGAGAAGACTTCTGCCAACATGCTGAATCCTTGTTATTTTTCTAAGATAACTGATAAATAGATTGTAGAAATACTCTTTTTTATTTTTTAACAAACTTTTCACGTTGAATGATGCTTAATTTTTTGTTGCATGTATATCTGACAAAAGCCACTTTAATAACAGATAATTCACTCTGGTGCTGTATCAGGAAATGGACTGGGACCAGTTTGACTTGAACCCTAAAGTAATTGTTGCCCTTAAGAAAGGTAACTTAATTTGCTAATGTCTCGCTAATAGATCTGTCACCATAGTGTCTTCCTTTGCATAATTGTGTGTTTGTGGGTGTAAGCGTATAGATGTACAGTAACATTTTAGAACTGTAATTATTTCATAAGCAAGTTTTTTGAGTAATCAGAAGTGATGGCTTTTCCCCATGCTCCACTAATAATTTTCCAAACAATTTTTATAGCGTGTGTTGATACATTGAAAGTATACGTTGCCTGCCCTGCTTACAAGAATGCAGTGCAGATAAACTTTAAGTAAATGATTAGTAGAAAGTGGGAAAACTTTTTCTTTTGTGCATAAGCCTGTAATCCAGCCAAAAGTATTTATAAAAATTCTTCTAATTTCAGCTGACATAAAATCAATAAAAGAGATTTTAAATCTTTCTGGAGCGGACTTGCAAAGACTGATGAAACTGTCCAGTGCAGATATACAGTGCTTACTGAAAACAGTCTCTCGCACGCTGAGGAGAAATAGTATGCTTACAGGTAATATAGTCGACACAAAAACCCCCATTCTGTTTAAATCTTAAAATACTGTCACTGGGAGAAAATAAGGTTTCGGCTCCTCATTGACACAGTAATGTGATTCTGAAAATGAAAAGGCAAGTGTTTTTGTTATGCCATAGGGAATTATTTAGCTATCCTAAGGACAGCCCCTCTGAGACCCTGAAGGTAGATGGAAGTGGATGGGTGTCATTCTTCAGGATCACGCCTGCCTGAAACAGGACAAAATGATTCTCCAGTCTGGAAAACTTGATTAGAGGAAAAAAAGATTCCCTCTCCCTTTTGGACTAGTTGAAAAACTTACATATTGTAAACTGGTTTGATATAAACACTTCATTCCAAACCAAGCAGGACCTAATAGCTCCTCCTGCACAAACACTTCATGGCAGCTCTGTACTTTTAGAATTTATTTTCTTGTGATTTGCATATATCTTCAGGCCTTGGCCAGATGCCTGGTACAGTGTTTCATAGTCTGCTATAGCCTTCCATTTCCATAATTGCTGTGCTTGAACCTTGCTGGCAATATTTTCCCAGAGTGTAGCTTTCCGTGGAGACTCCTTAGAGGCAGAGAAAGGAGAAAAAAGTTTGAGAGGAGGAACGGCCTCAGTGTAAACTTTTGAACAGGCATTCAGTTAGTAGGCCCTGTGGGGAAAGGGAGGTGGGGAAGACCAGGCTGAATTAGAAAAACTTCCGATCAACAAAGAAAGCATCCCTTGTAGATATAAACTTGGTATACAGCCTCTATTTTGTATCATTGTGTGTTAGAAAGATACTAACTGAAACTCCTTTTTTCTTTTTCCTTTTTTTTTTTTTTTTCCCCTTTTTAATCATTTAAAAAAAAATCCAAAACCCTGCAGCACTTCAGCTCTACCAGGATGAAGACCACCTCACCTCCCAGCACCAGAAGCTAAGCCTAGGATGTTCAGTACTAGATAACTTGTTAAAAGGTGGCATTCCTTTAGTGGGAATCACAGAACTTGCCGGGGAAAGTTCTGCTGGGAAGACTCAGATTAGTTTACAACTGTGCCTTTGTGTGCAGTATCCTTACAAACATGGTGGATTAGAGTCTGGTAAGTACTGAAATGTAAATATTGATTAATTTGCCGTTTGGGGGAATATACTGTCTTTAAGGACATCATCAGTGTATTGAAGTAGATGGACGTATTCAGTGCATGTCTTACCCTTCTGCAATAGCATTAGGAAGAAGCTAGTTAGTTAATAATGCATCTTTATAGAGAGAAGAGCATGCTGTGCACATGCCCTGCATCGCAGCATAATTTAATACAAGATTACTGTTGGCTGTTGTTTACCTGCCTGCCACTGTGGGTTAAACTAGACACACATGCAAACAATATATGAAAAGCATTGCTTTCATAAGTACTTATTGACTCCTCAGGTAACAACCATAGCAAAACAGCTTGTCAGATAATTTTGCACAAACATCTTGGGTACATATTCCCTAGTTGGGGGGTTTCAAATTTTGAAGAATATTTAGCTTGATAATAATAGAGTGATTTACAGGGTAAAATTGATGGAAATCTAACTGAAGAAAGTTAACATTGTTTTGTACCTGTGATTTTCCTGGTTTTGCCAAAGTATGTAGGTTTATTCTTTGATTTGAGTATAGTTTGCTGGGTTTTTTTTAACCGTCTGTCACATTAATCTAACTTCTAATATTTTCTTTGGAGTATAAGATGCTGTCTTAGAAAGGGAGGAAATATGTGTCACTTCTGAGAATTCAGTGTCCTAGTAGTCTGCCTTAGGTGTGTTTTCGCTGTGATCTTGCTCTTCCTTCTTTGCAGTGCTGGGTTTAATTTGGCAGCTCAGTGGTTTGTTGTGGGGAAACTTAATTATTTCTTGTGCTGTATCCACCCATGTGGAAAAATTATGGAATGTCCAAATGAAGATGTTGCTTAAAGGGCAGTAATTAGCCTGTCACTTACATTACTTTGCTTTAAGTACTTCATTAATGAGAGCAGAAGCAAATATATATTGTTTGATTCCTTCGTGTGTTGCTGCTAACTGCTGCAAATAGTTTGAATGCAAATCCATTTTTATTCATGCCCCAATGTTTCTCTCTATTTATGCTGAAAGAAAGGAACAAACCAGAATGGAGTACAGAAGAAGGTGCCAAACATCCTAATGGCACTCTTGTCTCTTGTACCAGACTACAGTCTTCCTTACAGGGCTACAAAATGGCAAGTCTTTTCATTATTTGCGTTTGAAGATGGTTCTTGTTTCTTATGCACCTAGCACTTGCTGCTATTAGGATTGCTTTGTCATGTCAGTGTTCCCCACCTACCTACTCCTAAGTGTTTCATGGAAGGTAGGGCAGAATGGCCATCGTATCAATGCTCTTGTGAGAGAACCAGAGCATTTTGGAGGAGCTGAGAGAACAGAACTTTTGAGGGTCTTGAAGGTATGGAAGGTGGAAATACCCTGCTGCAGGAGATGGAGAGCTAAGGGAGTGGTGGAATCCTAATCCTTGCAGTTCTTTACTCTGTGCAGTATCTTGCCATGTGTTACACTGCATAAAGTCATAGCAGCAGATATTGTTTGCATAGCACTTAGAAAATGAAACTTGATTTCTCTGCAGTCTATAAATGAGGGTTGTGTTGAATCTCTTACGTGAAATACAGGAATTAAAAGCTTATGTTAAGTATGAGGAGTTTTATTCTTTGGGAAACTTGAGGAGAACAACAATGCTTAGTAACTAATATAGAAGTCTAGCGCTACCAACAGAAGATTAATCTCAGTGCTAAAACTTTGCTAATGATTTAAAATTATGGTGGGTGGGTTTGGTTTTTTTAGTGCTAGAAACTTCCCTTCTCTTAGGTGGTGATGTTGAAATACATTTTTTTAGACAGTATAGATTTGTTGTGTATTTACTTCATTTGACTTAGTGCTAATCTTGTTTACGATTCTCGGTGCTAGGAGGTTGGCAGCAAACAAAGAAAATAGGACATCCTTTGCCTCAAGGTTATCTTTCTGCCATTCTAAGAATGTCAGTTATGGTTAATCACATGTTGGCTGAATTTATTTTATATGCCCATATTCATAAGTAATACATGAATATAATGTGACAAATTCATATCCATATTAGAATTCTGAATTAGAAAAAAATGCTTGCTACTGACTCCTGGTAACAAGCTGGTTTGGTGCATGACAGATTATGTTCATAGGACTCAAAATTCATCCTTCTTTGAGGGTGGGGTTTTTTATTGCTTTTTTTCTCTTTGTTTGGGTTTGGGGTGGGTTTTGGTCGACAACCAGCATAGCATTTTATTAGCCTAAATAACAGTAAAGCACTGGGATTTGATGAAGTAGGTGGTTTCTGTTTGGTTTTTGCGGACCTGTGAGGAAGGATGCCTGTAAGATCCCTGGGGATGACTGACTTACTAAGAGTGTCTCTCAGCTTCTTTCTCAGAAGTGGGAACTACCCTGACTCTTGACTTGCTGTTAGTGTTGACAGCTTCCTAATAAACTGTAAACAGCACGATGCCATAGGCTTTTCTGTTTGTGTTGTACTAGTCTCCTCTTTTTATTTAGGTTATGACAATTCACTTACCTTCAAAGATATGTGAATATTAAGTGCTTTTGCCTCATAATTAGGCATCGGTCTTTAATACTGAGTTTAGTTATTTGTCAATCTCTTCTAGCCCTTGTAACTTTGCTATAAAGCTCCTCCTGTATTTTTAATGCACGGGTGTGTGTTCTCATTAATCAAATGTTTCATTGTGGCTCAAACTGAACAGCACAAACAAAAGCTGAAGAGGCTTGATGAAGGTCCACTAGGAGAAAGTGCCACTCCCATTGTACTGTGAAACTCAAATTTTAAGCCAGGCAAAGCTCATCTGATACATTTTATGTGGCTTAGCTCTCTTAAAATTCAAGATTAAAATTACATTATTGTTTTGTGAAATGAGCAGCACTTAAAGAAAAAAAAAAACAGGGTTGGCCCACCGTATATTTTGGAGAAATCACAAATGGACCAGTTATGTACCTGGAGTACATTATCTGCTTTAACTGGTGTCAAAGAAGCGTTACAGCTGAGTAGAAGATAGGCAGGTGACTGAATGCTGGTATTTGCAAAACTGAACTGAGGCAGGAATAGTCTATGAAGTAGGACTGTTCTTAAGAAGGAATTAATCTTCTTGATCTTTCTTTTACAAGTGTTTCACTAAAAAAAATTAACCTGAATAAATGTGTTCACTTGAACTTTAAAATTGCCGTCACGATTTTATGAAGAGGGTAGTATCTATTGATCAGGAATTTTAAATCTAGGTTGCTGAGCCAGTGGAGCAGAGAGGGACCACATTTTTGCTTCTCCAGCTGTTCTTTTTTGCCTACAGGTATTACAGCTGTAGGATTACCTTGTTTGCCTTGATTTACTTGTTCATCAGGTATAAATGTGAAACTGGGCCATGGCTGCATATATGTTTGTAATACAATAAGATTGCTTGATCGTTTTATATTCTTCTGCTTTTGCCTTGTGTTTGTTCCTATCACTGTTCTTATTACTGTACTGACATTATCTGCAAAGAAGACCTTTAGGATAATTTTACGTTTCTTTTTCTACAGATAAGTTAATTTTGGAGAAAGTTTATTTTTTCAGCAAGTTTCTCAGTTTTCTGTTTTGAAATGCCTTGAATGTTGCGGTAACTCTGGATCGAAATACAATTAGATAATCAATGGAGCACCAATCTATCTAGAAATGGAAATCTGCATTTGAAAAAAGAACAACTATGAAGTCTCAAGTAATGGACATTCCATTCTTTTTAAGTAAACCAAGGAGAGGGCAAGGGACATACTGCTTAAGGCAGGTCTGACTTTTAGAAAGCAGATGATTTCTCTGTAAGCCAGTGTTCATGGTAAAGAAATCCCTGTCTTTCAGAATTAGGCAATGTTGTGCAAAAGGCAATCAGCTGTGAATAAGAATGGTAGTTGAAAAGTCCAGAATGTTTTACTTTAGGAATTGTTAAGTTAGTATTCTAACACAAGTTAGCGTAGCTTTTGTTAGTGTGAAATTCAGAAACCACGTGGACTTAAGGAAGCTGCCTGTCATGGTGGGTTTTCTTTATTTCTTTGTTTGTTTACTTGGTTTTGAATTTGCACCATAATGATTTTCAGTTTGGTGGTGTAAATGTTCCAAGACATAATTGGCTTATCTGAGTGAGTATTGGTGCTAGATACACATAATGTCAAATTTGTGATTAGGAATTTTTCTTGACTTACTGGCTTTTTAGAAATCGTGAAACTGAAAATCTGATTAGGAATGCGTGAACTGCCCTTAGTGAAGATACTCACCTGCCTGTTTGATACTCAGCTGTCACTGTCAAGTTGGAGAGTGATATGAAAGTTAGTCCAATTAGGAGAAATTAACCTAGGGAAATAGTCAAGAGAGTTAAGGTTCACCTGTTTAATAATTAGCTATTTAAAAAGCCTTAAGCAATTAAGTGATGTAATTAATAGTTCGCTGTGTTTTCCTTGTCTGAGCTTCATACAGGTTCAGATAGTATTCAACAAGCTGCTGATGTCACTGTGAACTTAATGGATTCAAGAAACTGTGGGCTCATTTTCTCTCTCTCTTTTTTTTTTTTTTTAAATTTTCCTTCTGTGCTGATGGAAATTTGTATATGTGCTCATTTGTGTCTACAGGTATTGCATATGACTTCAGTTGTCGTAATTACCAAAGACAGCATTCATGTCCGCAGTTTAAAATTCAGAATTCCATCCACTCAAATGCTAGGAAAAAAAGTGGGAAAAGTACAGAAAATATTCATGATTCAACTTCTTAGTTTTTTATATGTTGTAGTTCAGGAATCATGATCAGATCATGAGTGCTCTGATCACTAATGCTTTACTGTGGTCCTTACTCACTGTCAAATGTTGTAAACTGCTAACAACCCTCAGTTCTCTCTGACATAAGTATGTACATAATGAAATTGGGGAATTAAGAATGGAGACTGAATATTCAGGTGATAAATGCTATTGGCTGTCAGGGCCAAGGAAAGTAAAAAGGAGCCGAAGTATAATTTGAACCTGTTATTAGGTAGAATGGAAATAGAAATTGTGGGAACACTTCAGTACCTCCTATGGAAGGCGTGGATGATGGTGAAGTATTTTTCCATGTGTTAATAATTGAGGAAGGTCTTTAATTCTCACCTGTCAAAGACAATTTTTTTAATTAGTGGGCATGGGTAAATTTTTTTGCTTTACCTGATAGCTTTCTGACTATTTAAAAGTAAGACTGTGTATGTATTTGCATTTTCTTTCCCTGACATCTTTGATGTGTATGGCTAACTTTCTCTGCAGTAATGCATACTTGTTAACCAGAAACCACAGTAAAAATATATAGACATTACTCACAGTAATGTGATTGAAGTATAATGCTTTTTATCCAATCTGCCATTTTCAGGAAGAGTTAATTGGACTGGATTGGATGAGTGATCCTCTTTAAACTGCCTTACAAATTGTGGCAATAAGTACCTTCCATATGTAAATTTAAAAACAAGAAACTTGAAAACAGTGAGTGAAGTTAATCTAAATACTAGTTGTACGGGTTTTGGCTGGGATAGTTAATTTTCTGCATAGCGTAGTGCTGTGTTTTGGATTTCTGACCAAAACAGGCAAACTATGCAGTATTGCTCTATTTGTGGGTTGGATAAATGACAATACTCGTAATCACCCAAGTTAGGTGGTCAGGTGTTCCACAGCTGTGCAAAATGAGAGTCGCCTAGTGGAGAGTATAAAAATGCAATTGTGTCAGCAGGCACCAAAAAAAGGACCTGGTAACTACAGGAAAGTCGTAGGAGTGGTTTGTTTTTGTTGTTCATCGCTGACTCAATATGGCTGCAAAAAAAAAAGTAACATGAATTTCCAGGTACGTATGTCTAGCTTTTGAGTGCAGAATGCATTATTTTATTTTTGTGCTGCTAAGAAAACTGCATGTGTAAGAGCCCTGTGGTAATATTAGAGGTGGTTTCCTTGATTACAGGAGCTGTCTACATTTGTACAGAAGATGTATTCCCAAGTAAACGTTTGCAGCAACTCATAGATCAACAACATAAGCTGCGTGCAGATGTTCCAGCTGAAATCATACAGAAGATCAAATTCGGAAACAGTATTTTTGTTGAGCATGCAGCAGACCTAGTAAGTAGTAGCACAAATTCAGAATGCATAATTATTACACTATAACCCAGTAACCACAGGGGTTTTTTGATACAGGAGACCTTTCAAAAGGCTAAAAGTGAACTAAGATCTGTAACGAATACTTCTGAATAATCTCTGCAATTTGCTGTTAGAGAACTGTCTATTACAGTGTTTTATTATGAAAGATATTAAAAGATAAATATTAATATTTTTTAGAATGAATCATGTCATGGATTTTTGTAAGTCATTATGTTTATTAAATTTAGTAGACTTATTGCTACTAGTTTTACTGCAGCTCCTAGGGAGATCTTCGTTGGGTTTGGAGACAGGATATAAATACATATGCAAAAGGTGGTGTGTATCCTGACTAACTCGCAGTTTAACAACTTTGGTGTTACATTGCAATTTAAGCAGATAGGAGGAAAGGGTACGAAAAATGATGCCTGGAATAGGTAATGGCACAGCATAGCCACAGCAGTGCAGCTGTCTTGCCCCTCTGCCTGTAAGATGTCATTGTAGAACTGGAGGGGAAAAGTTACAAACAACTTCAGTACTGTATTCTTGCCTTGTAAACCCACATTTTTGTGCGTTTTCTTAAGTAGCCATGAATATGCTTTTTATTGATAGAACATCAGGAGTTCTGTTTTCTCTAAGGCTTGAAAGTAGCACTTGTTAAATCGTTCCAATTGTTGGGGTTTTTTTAATCATAGTTTGCAAGCGTGTAAGAAGATCTTGTATATTGGTATGCTTGCCACTTATTCACTGTGTGGTCCAGGCAGCAGCTAAGCTACCTTTTCCATGTCCCTTTCATTGACAATATTAATTACAGTTCTGATTGTAGTTTCTGGAAGCTACAGAGTTATGTTATTTTAAAAAGGAGAGAATCGCCCTATAGTAGTATGTACATCTCTCTAAAATACCCTAAAAGTAAAACACTACACTCACTGATTAAGTCCAGCAACTGCACAATAGCTTATTACAAGTCATATATTGCTATGTATAGATTCAGTGTGTGTGTATCCATATACATAGCATGCATTGCTATATAGAGATAGGCAGATTATAGCAACTGAAGGAGAAACCCAAATCGCAATTATGTTCTGTATTTTCTTTCACATCAAAATTTTTTTGACTTGCTTCATTCTGAGAATCCAGTTGTTTGTGTATTCACTTGAAAAGAATGAGTCTTGTACGAACAGAAGGACCACATACAAACACTGAAGTGTTTGAAGTGCAGCGTAGTTTCATGTAGATGTACTAGTAAGTGAAACAAAAAAATTCCATTTTCCAGAATGGAAAGCAGTCATATATTCTTTGGAGTAATTTTTTCCCCTCAGTTTGAAGAAGGAAAAAAAAAAAAAAGCCTTTGATATTATAATATTTATTTTGTAAAAAGCAGCTCATTTAGTAGAATAGATCTTACTGTAATTCAGACTTGAGAATTACAATTTAGTTTTAAAAGCTGTGGAATGCTGGAGGATATTATATGTAATTCTGGATGCGTATAAGCTCTTAGCTGTGAACCTCTATTTAGATGTAAAGAGTGGCACCAATCAGAAGAACTGCGACTCTCAAATTATTGCTTTTTTTGCCAACATTGAAATTTCTGATGACCAGAAGCTGAGATTATCACCGTGAGCTTGTTTTCCTTTCTACTCGGCTGCTGTAGACCACTCTGATAAAGACAAGATACTGAGCTACAAGGACCTTTCATCTGACTAAAAGATTATTCTTATGTGGTAGAAGTTGCACCCTACGAAATATTTGGTAGTTAAACTTCTTGCAACTGAAATGTTTGGTGACTTCAAAATATTCAATTGGTAAACCTTTTAATAGGGAGGATATAAGTTGCAGCTACTCATGTTTATGAGATTCTTGATCAGTATGGATTTGATGTAGCAACTATGTATTTTACTGTTAATATGTCATTAGTGGAACAGCAGCATAGTCTCTAACTTCTGTTTTGAGTATTTAATGCTAGTCTCAAGTCGTCAGTGTTTCAATGAGAACCACTCCTGCAAAATAGGAATGGTTCAGGGTTGTAGTATTGCGTTGTTGAGATTTTGAAATGTCGGTACATAATTGATTTAAGTCAGAGCTGCAGATAACGGTACATTGCAGTTTGGTCTCTTTATCTCTTTCTTAAGGTAAAACCACGACATTTGCAAAAAATGGTTACTAGTGAGACTTAAAGATCCACAAACTCACTTTATGATTAGAAACTCCATCAGCTTGTGTTTCAGCGACGGTATCTGTAGTTACTATCTTGATCTTACAGACAGAGTTATTTGAACTGTTTTAATGCTGGCTGTTTGTATTTTGTGGTAGGATACCTTTCACAACTGCATTACTAAAAGGATTTCCCTACTGCTCACAAGAGGCATGGTGCGGTTGGTGGTCATAGACTCTATTGCTGCTTTGTTTCGATGCGAATTTGGAGTTTCGGATTCTGTTATGAAGGCTCGGTATTTGCAGACATTTGGAGCACAGCTTCACAGTTTAAGCACTAGATTCAGGACTCCGATAATGTGCATTAATCAGGTATGACATCAAAATTGCTTCTCATTTTATAGGGACCATTTAATAAATGGCTGGGGCGGAGAGGAAGTCTGTGTAGGCAGATTTCTTGGTGTTGTGTTTAACACTGTCAACTAGTATTAATGATTGATGGAAACTGAAGTTGCCTTAAACTGGTGTACTTGAAATTAGTAAATTTTAACTTCTCAAAGTTTAAGAATGTCATTCGATCTTTTTATAGAGTCTAATGCTCTCAAAGGTTGTCCATTAAAGCTAACAAAAATAGATACGTATAGCAACTGCACAAAGCATCGAACTGAAATAACAGTTCTTTCTTAACACTAGCTTCAAATGCCATCGCCAGCAGGATTGCTCTGGGAACTCTGCATGCACAGTTATATTCCCCATATGCAGGAGGCAGTGAACCACCAGGGACTTTGCTGCATTTTTGTGAAGCTCAGCATTTTTGTGTAACTGCTGAGATTACTAAAGCATTAGAATGCATGCAAGCTGACTCAAGCTGAACCAAAAAAAGGGCACAATGATACTAGTCAAAAAGAATATTCTTTTGAGAAAACTAGACAAGATGCTACTTCTGTCCTGTAGAAGCGGCATGCCACTTCTCTTAGTCTAATCACAAATCAAAGGAGCGTATGAACGCTGGAGGTGAAGCATTCACACTTGGAATGCGGCCTGAGAAAGGGGTAAGTAAATGTGCAGGCAGGCCACTGTTGGGAAACATCCTTTCCGGAAGGCCCTTCCATCAAATGAGTAAGTACTCAGCCCTGAGGGTTCCTTCTCACAACAGAAGAAAAGGGATAAGGAGAAAAGTTGAAGTCACAAGAAGAATTTTGTATCCGGAAGAAAGAGGTTCTAGAAACATCAAGTCAACTGTTACTTGTTTGATTTGTTTCTGTTCCCTAGGAGTAGTTCTGGAACTACAGAATGGGCAGTGTGTAAAACCTTACGTTTACTACCATAACTGGAAGGGAGTGTGTTGGAATCCATACATAGCAGTAATTTGAACAGCTTTCAGGCATGCACAGTGTCTTTATTTTCAGTAAGATTCCCATTAAGATTCAGTAGGATTTAAATTTCAGCCTTGAGTTACTCCTAATTTTTTAGCCAACTTTTTCTTACATAATCTTTCATGGGGTGAGCTAGCTTTTAAGGAAAACTGAGAGTTCCTGTAACTGCTTTCTGAATTTTGGTATTAGTAGAGACAATTTGCTCTCCTTGGGAAGCACGGTTTGGATTTTGCTCTTTGTTGAGCAAAGGTTTTCATGTTTCAGCATTTACGCTAGGAGGTCAACCAATGGAGTCAAGTTCCTCGGCTGGCTTCTGGGGGCTGTCTGCCTTTTTCCTGGGGGTTTTGAGAGCCCATCTAGCAGGCAGAAGAAGATCTGATTTAAGCGTAAGACAAGTCGAGATGTATCCGCTCTCTACTTTGGAATGGTTCAGCATGAGAGGGAAAAGAGCGATTTAAGAGAGCTGCTTAGATCTGCCTTCCCATGATGGGAGTTTTACTTTGGTGCTGGCTCACGATAGATGAGGTCACTGCCTGACGCTGAATGACAACAGTCTGACCATTTGCTAACAAAGGGTCCTTAAAGACTGTATTCTAATGGAAGGTGACTCATTACATCGTCTGTAGTTACAGAAATAAACTGTGACTATAAGAACATTGAGGAAGAGTATGGCTGTAAAGTAATCCATTCTGTAAGTTATATTTAGAGAAGTACCTATAACTTAATCTGCTGTACTTTGTGAAGAACTTGTGTGGAAGAATTGTGACATTAGAAGACAACAGAGGGAGTCCAGAGGTGTGGATTTTTCTAGGCTGTAGTCAAAGGCAAACTGCTCCATTAAGCAGGCCTTAAAAGGTAGTGAAATCATCGAGGTTTGGGCTTCAGTACCTTTTATCTACAGATACAGCATTGGAACAATTTTGTGTGTATGATGTGTGTGGGTTTTTGTTTGCCTTTTTTTTTTTTTTTGGGTCCCCTAAACAAATTAAGCACCTAGTACTAGTTAAATTCGTGTAAGTTGTAGCTAGCTAAATCGTTGTAGCACTGTAAACTCAGATAATACTTCACAACTCCCTTTTAGTTTGCCTTGAAAGAATAAGGGTTTTCTAACTTGGCATAATATGTGATCCAATAACTTGGATTTTCTTGGCTTCGTTCCCTTCCCTACCCTCCGTAAAAACAAATGCATAAAACTACAGGTCAACTTCAAACGTTGTTTTTCTGCTTTAGGTGACCGATGCAGTGAGCGAGTCAGAATCTGCTCAGTGCAGTTGTAGGTAAGTCGTCCCCAACAGAAATGTAACAATGATGTTGTACACAGCAGCATTTAACCGCTATATTTTTTGTAAAAGTCCAATATAAACTGCCAGCGCGTATTAAGAGCAGTAGTGTATTTATTTAGTGTTGTCTCCAGCAACACTCTATTTGCTGGAGATCAGCAGTAACGAATGTGCTGTAAAGTGGAAGAAACTGTCATATACACTTAGTGGTAATCCCTAATCAGCAAGTTAGGGGGAAAAATTCTCTGGAGTTAATGGCTGGTATACTGATTTACACAAAAGTATTTTTGCATCTCTTTTTGTCTTTGATATAACGGAGTGCATTTTCTGTCTGCTTAAAAAAAAAAGGCAGCCAAACCTTATGGGTTGGTTTTGTTAGTTGCTTAAGAAAAAAAAAAAAAGAGGATCATTTGACATATTTGTTGTTTGAATCCTAACTATAATCTTGATTTACTAGGTAAGCTAGGTGCTACATAAATGTGTTTCTGTGAGGAGTTAGTTATGTCCTCAGATTCAGAAACTGACACAGAACAAGGATAAGGTTCAGGTTTTTTTCCCCGGTTATCCTGTAATTCTTTTACTGGAGAGATTGTATTTTTTCCAGGAAAAAAAATTGTTTTAAACTTTGGGTTGAAAGCGGTACGTACGCGGTGTTACATCTACCCAACACTTCTGAATATACCTTCAAATAGAATCCGGGGCCAACAGTTACACACTTCAAATACTTAAAGTTCAACCATTTTTCTATTGCTATTTTCCTGTCACAAGAGGGGACCGGTCAAGACAGAGGCGGGTATTCACCATGGCTGTAGTCGGAAGAACAACTGAATTACTCTGTATGGAAGCATTTGTCTTCCAGTTGTTACCTTGCTATAGAGAGAACCTAGCGTATAGTTTTGTGAGTATACCCTGTAATCTCTGTCTTCCAAGACCTATTGTTTTAAATATAGCAAATAACAGTAAATATAGAAACAGCAGATCATTTCTTCCAGTGTAATTTTGTTGCAACAGAAGTGAAGATGTTTCATGTTAAATTCATACATGCAGAAACCTGTAATGCTTTCTTTACAGTGCAGCGGATAACAGAGTCTCTCCAGCACTTGGAATAACCTGGGCAAATCAACTGCTAATGAGACTGATGGTCAGCCGAATATCACAACCTGAACAATCATCTGGAGTTGCGTCACACCACACTGGAAGCGTGAGGACTTTAAGAGTAATTTTTGCTCCTCACCTACCTCCATCCTCTTGCTACTATACAGTAAAATTGGAAGGTGTGAAAGGAATAAAATAAATCCTTTGCATAATAAAGCATCCTCCTCCAAAAAAGTATCAAAACTACTTTGCTTCAGGAAGAATTACTAGTAAAATTAAATTCATCCTAGATGAGAGAAATAGATGCTGAAATACATAAACAGTGATAAGACAATACATTAAGCCTTGTCTACATTGTGAAAGAAGATCTTTTTTGTACTTGGATGTATGTTCATCAGCTTTTCCTTGTGAGGTAAGTTTTCTGAAGGAGAGTAAAGCTGTGGGCAGGTGGAGGCTGCACAATAAAGTGTGATGTGGCAATCCCCGTGTTAGGGGAGACCCCATTTTTAATTTTAATAGCTTGCTAATGTAGAAATGCCACTTAGCGCAAGCGTGTACCTTCTCTGTAACTCAAATTCAACCAGTTCATATTGCCTGGTGGTGTTTCTAGTCCTTGTGCTGCCATTACGTATAGTTGTTCTTCTATCTATAGGGCCTCAGAAATAACATAAAGCAGCTTTATCACAAAGCAGATATCCTATTTTAAAACCACTTGATATTAATATTAGGATTAAAAAATACCAGAAAGATACTTGATTTTAACATCTTACTGTAAGAATTAAAATTGTGCTGCTTTTGTACTATGTGGGCATATCTAGCTTTGCAGGACTTCCACAAATTTTTTGCAAATGGTTCTTTTCCACTCTTTTCCTGCTTTCCAGTTCCCTCCCCTCATAGCAAAAGCCTCTTTAGCCTCCTCCGTTTAAAAAAATAACAAACCACCCCCCATCCCCTTGTTCTGTTTGCCCATCTCTGAAGCTGTGAAACCAGGTAGTTTCAGAGCAAGGGCTCTGTTCGTGTTCTTCCCAGTACTCTGCACAGCTCTGTTTTGTTGGATCTGGAGAGCGTTCTTGATCGGCTTCTGGATCGCATGATCTCCTGTCTTCTGTCCTTACCTTAGTGAGCTTCTGAAGGGCACCTTTAGCTGTTTTCATCTATCCGCGGAGCTATTACTCTTCTCAGGTTTTTGTTGTTGTTAAGGCTTTCCGTGTTTTTCTTTCCATCTTTGCACTGTTCAGCACCTCGCTTTTGGTTGTCCTCAGACTACTGCTCGAACATCTGCTTTTTCTAGTCTTTTTTTTTTTTCTCCTGCATTCAGTGTGCAAGAAAGCTAGATGAAGTCACTCATGCATGTTTTCCAAAGGCCTTGGACTTTATTTGGCCTATGCTACCTGAATGCCTGCTCTTACCAGTGTACGATGCTCACTTGTTTCACATATTTGTTAAGCTTTCACATTTCCCCTTTCTACCTGCTTCCCCAGGTTGCCCAAACACAAAGTCTACCAGTCTTACGTTTTTCTGTGTAGTTACATTGCTCAGTTCTGTCTTTTGGCAAATGAGAACCTTTTCTTCTCCGTAGTCTAAACAATAAACTCTCTTCCATAAGTACAAGTTCAGAGGACCACCTATCACTTGGTAAAAGCCAAGTCCAGACACATTCCTTTTGTGTTCTTCAGGTACACTACAGTAGTGAAACAGCCACCTTCCCTACCTTTCCCCTGTCCCCCAGTAATACTCTTTAAGGATATAGCAGCCATCTTTTCTTGTGGAAGCATGCAGCTGGGTAGCAGAAAGAAAAAGTTTTGTCTAGCTGTACACTGGGTGAGCTAGAACTCTGGCAGAAGACTTCTCAGAAGACAACAGAGTACGATGCAAGGAAAAGAGACCCAGGAAGACAGGGACTGCGTGACTGCCTTTGGGGAGTTCCTGAAGAGAACAGGCACAGTCACACCTTGAAGCTGAAGGAAGGGAACTCCAAGCAGAAAGAAGGATGAGTCGCTTTCTGTGCCTTCTGAGATCCCTTAAGTCATCGAAGGGTACCTTGTGCAAATAGCGTAACAAATTGTCTCCAAATATCTTTTCTAAAATGTCTTAATTCTCTGTATTTGAAAAGAACCACACTCTCTGGTATCTTTTAATAAAATCCAACCATGAAGCTTAGAAGTCTTTGTGTGCTCAATCTGAGGAAAAAGTGAGAGTGCTATAGCTCAGAGGCATGGCTACCTCAGTCTTCAAATCCTTATCTATGTTCCATGCCTCCTTCCTAACAATTTTACTGACAATAAACTAATGCAGCATAGGTAACGCTCAAATTATTCTCTTCTGTTCCTGGCCCGTTTATCTGGGACAGGAACTTTAGCCAATATATTGCTCATCCTATTGTACTAATTTGATTAAAAAAAAAAAGCCACAGATGGATGTAGCTGATTAATGGGAGTCAGTCAACCGCAACCCAGACCTTCAATTTACAAAAGAGCCCAGGCTCCAATCCCAGGAGCTTGCCTCACTGTGAACCGTGCTCAGGACAGTCAGATACAAGTCTTAAGGTTCAGTTTTGTAACGCTTCGATAGCTCTTTTTACAGCTCTTTTTTGCAGGAATGAGACCTAAGTGTTAAGAGTCTGTAACCAAAGTCCCAGTTTACTTTATGAAAAACACTTTCACCAACAAATTTAAGTAACATCTTACCTGAGCAAGTCTTCCTGCCATTGCCCGTGTTGGTTCTTATTTAACTCTCCAGCTGGAGGCTTAAATCTGAGTCAGAGCACGTTACAGTACGTTTCCTAGCTCATCATCACACACACAAAGCCTGAACCTCTAAAATGCAGCTGACCCCCCAGCTTAGAGTCAACAGTCAGTCACTCCCCGCAGCCGAATGTTCATCAGCAGTTTCCACCCCTTCCTTCAGTAACTGGCATCCACAGTCGGAACTCTCGGATGTTGTTCATCTGACGTTAGTACAGCCTCGGGGGTGCAAACCCTCAGGAGGACTGAACAAAGCACTTGCCCTCTTCGAAGCCTTGTGTCAAAAGTAGTGAAACATGCTAAATTAATAAATGCAATTTAAGAACCTTCCCTTTATACAGCTTTATTCATCTTTGGATTTCACAATTTGATTTGTTTCTATACAGGAAAAAAAATGGAAGTATTTTTTACAAAGAAGATTTACATTCTAGGATGTATTAAGTATATCATCTTTAACCTGTAAGACTACATTTAAATATTTTTCTACACTTTGAAAATAAACCTTAAATGACGCTTGAGAAACTTTTAAACAGTTTCAAATTCATCTACAGATCTGTGGTGTCTTTAAAGAGGCCATTTTCAGCAGAAAGATCATACAGGGTTCTGGAAACATTGCTTCGGAAAAGTAGAACCAAATTCGTTTGTGCTTGGTAAAGAATTTACACAGCTGACCTAGTAACAGAACAGATGCAGTAAAACACACTAAACAATCTCATTACAAGTTTCTCGATGAAATCACAGTGAATTACTACTATTTGTTACAAATAACATTTGTGGAAGTTTATTTTCAACAGAGTTTTATGGGGTAAGACAAGCAGGTGAACTCTGAATGGGATTTTGTCCATAGCTGTGACAAGCAGTAACTCCACATGGAGACCAAAAAGCAGCATCTTAAAGCCAGTCTTGGAAGGTTTGTTTGTTTGTTTATTTTAAATCACACATGAAATCCACATACCAGGGCGGGACGGGAAGTCCTCAAGAAGGATACATTGACATTACAAATGGTTTTCTGGTTTTGCTGTTGTTGGGCTTTGGTTTCGTTTTTCAAACCAGGCCCTAGAAAACGGAGAATACCATTCCTGATTGCACAGAACTCATCTGGCTTAATTACACTGTAACCTGCTGCCACTACTGTATAAGGCTTCTACATCATTTACAACTAAAGACTCAGTAACTTTCCATGCTTGAATTGTGACTTCAGTATAAACACAGGGAGCCTAAGGATTGATCTGGTTTTAAAAATGACTTCACTACGCTTGTTCCACGCTGTGTAGTTCTTAGTCTCTCTCTCTCTCTGTTGTGTGTGCCAGCACAACCGTCAGAGCAGCTTCCAGCTCTTTGATGTAGCTGGAGCATTAAATGAACTTCCAACTATGGTTCTCTAAATATTTCTTATTTAAAAGCAGCCGTAACTAAAGAACGGTTTTGCAGTTTTGCTATGAGCATAAGCACTTTCCCAACAACTCGGGTCTTTTGACCTCCATCAGATGGTGGCACTGTGTAACTACTGACCTTGACTATTCAGTGCGCTGAGACTACTGTGAATGGGTTTGGGGGGGAATAATCAAATGTAGATGTTCAAGATTTCCCTCAATTCTAAACTATTAAAAAAAAAAAAAACAGAGCCAATGTTTCTACCAATTCTTCCCTAAGTCTGTGACAATGTAAAGTTGCTACAATGAAACTAAACTCCACAGCATCACATCTTTTAACATTTATTCTCTCAGTACAGGCTAACATTACCGAAAATGCAATTCTCTTAGCAGCTTTCAGACAAAATACATGACCTGCATAACAAAAACTAAAGTAACTTGAACTCATCAAGTATTGTAAACACACTTTCAATGAAGCACTGCACACCCCTTTTACTATATATTTACAACAGAACCACACCATTCTCAAAATTACTGGATTCAAATGGTACAATTTAAGCACAAATACTTCTCAAGCTTAAAACCATTTTCATTTACTACCCTGCAGGAGGGCTTGGGGTGGTGGTGTTTGTTTTAAGAAAAGGTACAACCGCTGGATAACATGTCCAGTTGTTTTAAGTGCTATGTTCTATCACTGCAGTACTGCAAGCACAGACATCACAGCAATAGCTCAGTTATTCCTCTGAAAGGAGCAAATCATGACACAGTTACATTTTACAATAATATTTAATAAGATCTAAACTCAAGAACCAATATTGCCAATATTCCTAAAGCCTAGTGCACAACCGGAGAGACAGAAGGGCAACAGGCACCTTTCCATCGCTAACAATTCAACGTACGATTCATCCTACGAGCGAGCCTTGCCGACTATACCCCAGCAAAACTAGCCACTGTTGGTAGCAGAATCCAGAGGAACTGGCCTGATCTGGAGCCCTCATTAAGTTTTTAATGAAGTTCGTCCTTACAATTCTGGGCAAGGACAAACATGCTAGATTAAAACCAAAACAGCGCTACCAAGGTTGCAGTTTTCCTAACAAGATGTCTGGCAATTTTGAAGGTCTTTCCTAGTTTTCTGTTTCAGAGCTGTCGGTTTAGTTCAGTACTGAAGATATCCAAGAATTATACGGTTGGGTATTTTGGTTTTATACTTTATGCAGACTGTTTGCTACAACTGAAACAGAGGAAATGTATTGGCTTACATAAAAACCAACTGAGAAGCCCACCTGAAATTTCAATGTGTACAAACCGCGTCCTGACAGTACTCAATTCGTGATGCAAACAGAAGGAAGGTTGACCTTAAAATTGGTTTTGTACATTACAAGTTTTTCTCCAACTGCAAGCAGCTCACTGGCTCATACTGTGAGGACCTGGCTATCTTTTATGGATTTATGGATTAGAGGACTCTTGAAATTTGTTTCTCTCTGAAAAAAAAAAAACCCTTTTAAATGTAAGAATTGTTTAATAAGCAGTAGCTCAACAATTTAATTTTCCAACACACTTTAAAATACTATATAAAGCTTTAAAACGTTTAAAAGCACAGTACTAGTAACGCCACCAACAGTACAATCGTAAATGAGAAAGTTCCCTCGCTATCACCATCACCATACCATGGTCTTGCATTTTAAAACTTCGTGTACACTGTAATTTGGCATGGTTAAATGTTTTATTGCTATTTACACAAGTTGAGAAGCTGCAAAAGTAATTTTCCTTCAAAGTTGAAAGATGAATGTAGAAAACACATTCTTCAATTTCTTTTCAGTAATTCCTTACTACGAGAATCAGTTCTGCATCTAAATAGTTTTGTGGGCTTTTTTGGAAGTCAGACTTTTATAACCGTCTCTACGTGAAGCACCGAGCTCCACAGAACCCCGCGTTACAAGGCCCACTGAGCCACTCCTATGGCAGTAGCATCGTGCCGGTGTGAAACGGGCTGACTGCCAGGGGTGTTTGCAGCGAGGGTTTCTCGGGGGTCCTGCCAGAGGGACAGATGACGCCATCGCAGGCTGTCCAGTGAAGCGACGGCGGCGGTGGCAGGGGTTTCCCGCCATCTCCCCCGCCCCTGTCGGTTGGACACGGGTACCCACCCAGCCTGGCAACCCGACGCACAGTTCTTTGTGCAAAGCTGGCTCAGTCTGGCTTTGTGCAGAGAACCGAATTCACCAATGGGTGCATATAACATGTTTTGCTTTAGGGGAAAAATGTATATATATTATGTATATTTTTATATAAAAAGCTCTTAATAAAAAGATTAAAACTCACGAGTCTACATTATATGAGTAAATATTGTTAAGTAACCGAGCAACAACTAACTTGTTCTCGGCTCGAGTTCATTAATGAATTGCACTACTCTGTGCTGAAACTTCTACGTATTAGCAGCATCATATCCCACCGTTTCTAAACCGTCCTTATAGCAGGTACACCATACGCAGCTTTCCTTAAAGAGATGCTAATAAGGTACCTCCCGGCAAACATCGTCAAGTGCATCACACATACAACTTTTTGCATCGGGTATTGTAACACAACTTAAAGCCAGATGCGAAGCCAGTCGATTACTTCGTAGAAGTACTAATTCTACTGACCCTTCACAGCCTGTTCAAATACTAAAACTTGCTCGTGTCCCTGTGTGTTACCTCCTTCAGTTGGCGCTAACCTTGAATGAATATTCCAGCTTTTCCCAAAGTTCGTTTCGTTCAGCATTTTCCAACTCACAACTGTGACCACAAATGCATTTGTACACACGCTGGTTGGTTTTTTTTACTTTCTCATCCAACTTCACATGAATAAGAATTTTTACAAAAGATGAACAAAATGACAAGCTTTACAGAAACGCGAAAGGAAATACTAGTGCCTATAAAATACTTAAAACATACATACTTTGTTCCAGCAGCAGTCCCGTATACAGACAGCATATATATTAACCGTAAGTAGATTTAACATGGATGTGTGGCCAAACGAAGTGCTTGCCACTTACAGCCATCTAGTGCTTCCACTGGGGCCCTTCAGATTGGAGCGGTCCTTTGCACAGCAGCTACTCCACAGTGTAACAGCCTAGCCTGCAGTTGCCTGCTTCTGCTGTCATCAGCTATTACGGAGAAAGGCAGGATCTGGGATCAGCCTAAGGAAACGTCGGAGCACGTTCAGCAAACAGAGAACGGGATTGTGAATTCCAGTGGACGAGCAAGAAAGTCAACCTGAGGCTTGGTGTCTCCCTAAGAGCAACAGCAGCCGCTCTGGGACAGTTGCAGTCCAAAACTTCAGTATTCATCAACCATACAAGGTAAGGGTCAAAACATTTTCCATTTCTCCTGATCAACGTGAACCATCCTATCTCCATCGATTATTGTGCCCTAAGACTTACATCAGTAAGTGTCAAAGTTACGGTCACAGGTATTGCTATTCATGCTATCTACAGGTAATGTAACCCCAACCATCTCCTCCGTAAAATTTAATAGCTCAATCTAGTGGTTAAGTAAGCCGTGTCTAAGCGCTGTTTTGCCAGCTAAGGTTTCTAATATTACACTAATCCGTGGTGCAAAGGAAAGCCCCACCAATACAGTATGCTCAATTTGAATTTATACAGTAATGCACATACATTTATCCTTTTCTCATTCCAGCACTGTATATATTTACTGCTACACATTTAGTTTTGCCTGCATTTTCAAACATCTTTGCATTTTGGTATGCTTTAAATATGTTTGTGTTTTTACGTTTTTTTTGGCTGCTGTAATATTCAGACCTATTAAAGAAATCGATGTAAGTAGCATGAATGGGAGCAGTGCAATGAGCAATATATATCTATATAGTTCTCCTTTAGAAGAAAATACCCACTAACGCTGTGTTTAAAATCGTTCCTATTTAGAAAAGTAAAAACAGCAGTCCATTGGAAAAAAACCCAACAAAATCTACAGACTAGGCGTTCCTATACATAATGATGAGGAACCAAAGCTTTGAAGGTCTCAGTGCTTCTTTATTCACCAAGGAATTTTAGCTAGCTTCTGTCCAAGAACCTCAATGCGCCAAATCAGTATGACTGACACTCAGAGCTCTCGAGTCTGTCAGACAATTATTTCGTTCCTGTGTGAAGGGGAAAACAAACAAACAAATAAATTAAGCAGATGTCCAGACAGTTCAAGCAAATAATCAAAATTACTAGTTTTACCAACAGGAACAAACAAATATAAGGATCTACGGAGAACTGGCCTTGTTCACGCTGGGTAGGGGGACACTCTTCCATATTCTAATAAATGTCTTTCTCCCCAACTTTCAACTAGCAAAAGTGAAAAGATCTATTGATATGTAGATACACACCCTTTACAATCCTGACCCAAGCCTTACCAGAAACGCAAGAGCCCATCTATGGGAATTGCCATGAGTCTCTCTAGCGGGTGAACCAGGAAAGTTCACAAGAAGTGAGAACTAATTTTAATATCGCAGTGTACATACAAACAATAAGTTACTCTTCTGGAAGTCACATCGATTATGTATTAAGGATCCGGTTTAGGGGCACCTAGGACATGACATTTTGAAACCTTGGCACTGTTGCTGCAAAGAATTATGCTTTACCCCGGCTGTTTTTTTGGCTGAAGTTCACCCTAAGCAAAGTTTTGCATACATTTCACACTGCAGAAAACTCTGCAGTAGGTTCATTAGAGATAATATAGTTGACACCTTTATGCCACGCAACAGCAAAATGAGAGCCATACAGTTTGGGCTTTCTTGCTACTGTAGGACAAACAGTGATGAGGATCCTCACGTACAGTTTTGTTAGTACAGAAGCAATTTTGTCTTCCTAAAATTAGTTGCAGTTACTGTGTTAGTAAAATGCACAACAGTGTTTAGAACACAGAACATTGCTAGCTTATTTGACAATATAAGAAACAGTGACTTATTAGGTAAAAACTGGAAATGGGAAGTAGCAATCGGGCACACCATGTACAGTTAAGCAAAATAAGGTTTTATATTAGCAGAAGCATAACATAGATCAGACAACCTTTTAGAGACTGCTCCTGTACAACCTCAGGAACAACTGAAGTCGCATTTAAGGGAATCTGAAAATGTACAGCAATTAAAATGATCGGGCCCTTTCCAATAAAGGGGCTGAAGTAAAAAATACTTAGTAACCGGGCTCTAAAAGTTCTTGGTTTTTTAATTAGGGTTTAGACGGTCCAAAGCCAGAGACTGCTTGATATCATAAAAGCCAAAGGTCTTTACTGGTCGGACTTAAGCACTTGCTTAAAATTAAGCATAATTCACAAAAGTGTTACGGAACGATGCCTTAAGCATAGGCTTTAAAACACCTTACTGAAGTAGGGTCTTACCAATCACTAGGAGTTTGTTATTTTATTATTTATCATACTCTTTTTATCCTAAACCCTACTAATGATATATTTTTGTAAGAGTATTGTAGGGCTTCTTACTTGAAAATGATCTTCAGTAGCCTTGCCACCCATGTTAAGAACATTCAGAGAACTGGCACGCTTCATGCTGCAACCAGGACAGTGAACATGCAAGGATAAACCGATCAGAATAGCTGAAAACTAACAGCTCTAAAAACACAAGTATAACAACAAGCAATGCACAGTTAAGGGAGTTTGAACGATGCCCCAAAACTGACCTGAGGGATACCCTTTAAGATAACTACGTAACTTAGAATATGTTTATATTTGGTTCTAAATTAGATATAAAACCAAAAAAATTACAAGCTCCTCAAAGCTTGAACATTTCAGGCAACTGATTTAATTTCAACTCAAAATCTCAATTTTTAAAGCACATCAAATCAATACACTGACTTAGTGTTGATTTTTAATTAGCTAATTCTCAGTTTCAATTTTATCCAGCTTCTTACAAAAGCATCGAAACATTCAGACAGTTTAGGAAAAAAAAAAAATGTCAAACGTGAATAAGTTTGTCACATAGGCAGCATTTAACTTGGAAAAGCTACAACAAGCATTAGTTTAGTACTTTCTGCCTCATCTAGATAAGTCTCCAGAATCTATTTCAAAAAAGCATTTTAAATTCTTTTATTTTAAACATTTCAAAGTGAAGGGAAGTAAGATGGTTGCTGCTATCAACTTTGGTTACGCTTTTGGCTTTACAACGCTCTGAGCAGTGGTAACAGCAGCCCTAGAATACTGTATTGAAAGCAACAGATGAGGAAAACAAAATTCATCACCTACACAGGAGCCACTGACAGTCAAAATATCACTGCATTAACTGTAATATCTACTGGTGTTTGAGATGAGGATTAATAATTTATCTGCATTTCTCAAACATATACAAAATTTAACAAAAATATTTTAAAGCGTATATAATGAAATTCAAGATTAGCCTTAAGCTTCCTA